TCATATTCCATAATTTTCCCTCCACATCTCCTTTTTCTTATTTTACTGTATAAATTTTCCTTTTCATTGTTTTCGGCATAAATTGCGCCAAAATTTTCCTTCCGTCGAAGTGTTGGCCGAAAGGAATTCTCAAGATAAAAATGATTTCGCGTATTTTTAAACTGTGGTATAAGTTCTTTATATATATATATATATATATATATATATATATATATATATATATATATATATATATATATATGTCCAAGTATATGATTGGTGTATACGGAATAAATTCCAATAACCAAAAAAGTACTATTCTTAAAAGTGTGCTCAATAGAGTGTAGAGCAAATATAAATTATTCGAAAATTATAACATAAATATGTCATAAAATCACTAGAAAAATAACCATTTTGGTTCAACACTTCTGGTGTCTTATCAAGTGATGGTGTTGTAGTGATTTTATAACACACTAATATTATAAATTTCGAATAATTTATATATATATATATATGTATATATGGAGAGGGAATATACGTATGCGTTCGCATGCTGACAAAAACAAAAAATGGAAATAGATCTAAGAACACACAGAGATCATTAAAAGATAAGAATATAGATATCTTTCTCACCCTTTCTCGGACCAGTTTTAATTGTTTTATTACCCTTCACGCAGAATTCTTTCACTGCCAGTTCAAGAAAGACATTTGGGTCACTAACACATAAAAAAGAGAATGTCTAATATCGAGAATATTTAACATCGAAAAACAAAAGAAAAACTAATCCCTTTTAATAATATGTGGAAATATCCACACTTTGCCTGATGAAGGTCACAAGACCGGAAACTCATGTAGCAAAACTATGGAAAAAAAGCATATTATATAATTTTTTTTTAAATTCACATTAAAACCAAAAACGTTTGCGGTTTCTCTCTTCTTTTTATTATACTCACTTTTCTCTCGGTGGTACTACTATAACCTCTTCCCTTTATACATACATATATATATATATATATATATATATATATATATATATATATATATATATATATATACCACACATTATAATGCTTGGGTTAATAAAACAGTGCTATATATAATAAAACCAAGCTGTTAAGTATATATTAATAGATATTTATATTATTCCTCAACATCTATTGCGTTTTGCATGAAACTCCAGTAGTGCTATCGGTGAGGATTATATATATATATATATATATATATATATATATATGTGTGTGTGTGTGTGTGTGTGTGTGTGTGTGTGTGTGTGTGCGCGTGTGTGTGTCAGGCTAACGTTTTCCGCTAACATGAAACGGAAGAATTAATATTGAATCAACTGCTAGCTCTTCTGCTAAGAAACTTGGTTCATTGCGTTGTGCTAGACAATTTTTCTCGACAGAGTCTATCTTACATATTTATAAGTCTTTCATTCATACATGCTTTGAATAATGGTGTCACATCTTGTCTGGTGCTTCTGTTATATATTTAGAGATTATACTACGCTTCAATTTGTGAAGTCGAAATACCAAAGTGGAAAGACCATCAGAACAATTAACATGAAACTATTTATAGAAAAGGAACAGGGAAGTTACGTTATGGCGGTGGGAATTGAAGCCGAAATGCCAGGTCATGATAAATAACATTGCATATTCTTTAGTCACCCAGGCGAAGGACGGCTGTGGTGTCCCCTGTATTAACACAAGAAAGATAGTCCTCCTGTGAGGCGGTGGTAGAAGGTTCAGCAATGAAGACCCTGATAGATACTGGCACGTCGGTCTCATTACTAAGGGAGAAGGAATACAGACGTTTGAAGAATCGGAGATTGATGCGGAAGGCAGACATAGAAATCGCACAGGCCGACGGTAGCCCCATGAAGATAAAGGGGATGGTGAACTTCCTAATAAGGTTAGGAGAGACGAAGAGTATCCGGAAGTTCTATGTAAGCCCTGATTTATGTACGGAATACTGGGGTAAGATTGGCTTCGTCGCTATGGGGCCAGTATAGAGTTTAACTCCACTTAATTAGTAGTAAATGGCGTAAGGACGCCATTGGGGGCCCACCCGAAGGGCCTATGACAGTGGTGCTAGAAGACATAAGGCTACCAACTAGGACAGCAGTGTCGAGTAAGGGTGGTTTAGTGACAGGGAAGGAGGTGAAGAAAGAGGTTTTCAATTAGTCCCTGTAGGGGAAAAGGATCCCGAGGAAAATGAGGTAACCCTGTGTGAGACAGTGGTTGATGCGGCAAAAATAGTGCCCATAATGTTGGTAAACCAGGCCAGCAAGGCAGTGAGAATAAAGAAAGGGGAAGAGGTAGGAAGGGCCTTGCCCCTGAGGACTTTATAACGAGTGAAGCTCGATAAAAAGAAAGGAAGGTGTTTAAAGCGAGTAGGAGGAATAGAAGACGGAGATAGAGGCTCCTGATAGGTATAAGGCCAAAGTGGGAGGCCTGCTGGGAGCTAATCGTGATGTGGTGGCCAAGTCAGAGAGTTGGGCTAAACACGCACGGTGAAAATGAAAATTGATACGGGTGACCACCGACCAATTAATTTAAAGCCCTATAGAACACCTATTCATAAGAGACCCCTGGTGGAGAAATCGGTCAAGACGGGGATGATTGAGAGGTCAGAATTCCCCTGGAGCTTCCCTCTAGTAGTGGTTGAAAAAAAAAATGGCGGGCACCGGTTTTGCGTAAACTTTAGGAAACTGAATGCTATTTCCAAATCCTTGGCGGTGCCCTTGCCAATGATTGACGACATATTGGCCCTGTAGTGAAAGGCTAAATACTTCTCCACCATAAATCTAAGATCTGGATACTGATAGGTAGCCCTTGATGAGGCCAATACATAAAAGGCCGCATTCGCGTGTCATATAGGTCTGTTCCAATTTATGGCCATTATGGCATTCGGGTAGGCCAATGCCCCAGGGATTTTCCAGCAACTAATGTCAATTTGCTGGGAGGAATGGAAAAGTTCGCTATGACGTACTTGGACGATATTCTTGTATTCTCAGAAACACTAGAACAACATTTTGACCACTTGAGGCAGGTACTGGGACGTATGAGAAAGCACAGGTTAAAATTAAATCAAAGTGTCAATTCCTAAAGGAAGAGACGAAGTACCTGGGGTTTGTGATTAATGCAAGGGGGATTAGGCTTGGACAAACTAAAATTACAAATGAATCAAAGAAATGCCTGAACCCCAGATAGTGAGGCAGGTGCGAGGATTTATTGGGGTTAGAGGATATTACAGACGTTTTATCCCGACATTTTCTAGAATAGCAACCCGCCCCAATAGCTTTGACGAAAAAATACGCCCGATTTAAGTGAACACAGGGCCACCAAAAGGGGTTTGACACCCAGAACGACCAGCTAACCGTTGTTCCCTTACTGACATACCCGGATCTTAGCAAGCCAATAGTCCTCTATACGGATGCCAGTGAGCAATGTATAGGGATGGCCCCGTGCCAGGTATACCGGAGAAAGTACTAATATACTCCCTGTCACATAACCCCATCAGAGACGCAGCAGAAATGGCCAGTGATAGAGAGACAGGCAAACGCTATTATGTATGCCCTCCAAAAGTTAGATTACTATTTCAATGGAACCACATTTAAAAACTGACCATAGACCTCTCTAGTATTTACTGGAAGCAGAATGGACAAATAAGAAGATCAGGCAGAAGGTGTTGAAATTGAGCGGTACAATTGCAAGATAGAGTACCTTGACAGAAAGGACAATACCTGTAAAGATTTACTCTCCAGAATTCCCAAGCTGTTGGAAGAGGAATCTGTGAGTAGAGCCTGGGGTGGATGATAGAGCTCACCAGATAGGAGTAATTAACTCCAATAGGTGGAAGGACCGCTCTGTGTTAGAGACGGACGAGGACACATGGGTAGTCACTGACCCCCACTGGACAGAAGAAATTGAGAAGAGACAGGTGGACAGCGAAATAGCCTCTCTTAGGGGGGGGGGAACAGAGGCAGAAGAGACCTCCAAATATGCAATACATGAAGGGAGGCTATATTATCTCTGAGGGAGAGTCGAGGAGGTTAGAGCCAGACTATATGTCCCCAAGTATTTAAGACTGGAAATATTAGAGCAATGCCATGAAAAACTGGGGCATAATGGGGCGGATTGATAAAACCTATTATCTGATAGGAAAAAATTATTACTGGCCCAGTTTGTATTATGAGGTCACCGACTATGTTCATAGTTGTGTGGTGTGCAGAGTAGGAAACAGGAAATGGCACCATTAGAAGGAGTGGATGTCCCGAAATTTCCCTTTGGAAAGGTAAGTATGGATGGATCGGGACCGTACGGGGAGACCCTTAGAGGTAATACTTACATAGTAAGTTTTGTAGATTGGCTGACGAATTGGTCTGAAGCGTTCACAGTAGCGGATGAGAAAGCTAGATCAGTAGCCGTTTTAGTGATGGGGGAAAATTTCCCTAAATATGACGCCCCTGTGCAGTTGGTTACAAACAACAGACCGGAAAATGTGAGTAGCATACTGAAAGAGATCCTGACAAGTTTAAATGTGGAGCACATAACTACGTCCCCCCCCCAAAGTAATGCTAAGACGGATAGATTCCACAAAACCTTGGGAGACGTGTTGCCAAATTAGCGAGAGACGATACAGAAAATTAGGACCTATATCTGACACAGGCTCTGGCAGCTGTAAGGTTTACAATTAATTCAAATTCTCACCGTACTATATGTTGTCTGTTCATTCGTCATCTGCATCGTTGCGAAAAAGGCTTCGTAGGGTCATCGCCCCACGCACACGTCCCCATAGTACAAAAAAAAAAGGCAAAGAACCCTAGTAATGAAGTCCAGGGCTCCGATTTGGGACCTTCCGAACAGGATGGAGGGTTGAGTGAATGGGAAGAGGAAGATGAGATACCTCTTTCTCATCTCCGAGAAAAGTCAAGGGATGAAGAAAGGCTAGAAGTTGAGCTAGGGTTACCCCTTAAGACAAGACTGAGAGGGAAAGGAATTTCCCAAACCCAAGAACAGTCAATGGATGAAGAAAGGTTAGAGGTTAAGCCAGAGTTACCCTTAAGAAGAGATTGAGAGGGGCGGAGAACACCGAACCTCAATAAGAAATATGGCTCTGGACAAAGGGATGGATGGCCTCGGTGTCGGTACGCAAAACATCAACAATGTTATCTTTTGTGACGAACCGACACCTTGTAAAAGAAAATTATTTTTTCTGAAGACGCCAGTTTATCGGTGAAAAAAGACCAATGTAGGAGTTTTCCAAATTGTCTTTATTAATTACACATATTTTAATTTCTAATACAATTGTTTTAATTATTATTACTCACATTATCCAATATTACTTAGATCAAACGCAATAATAAATAAATAAGGTTTTCAGAATTTGTGAAAAAAATTATTTCACCTCTAGTACATCTTAGTGGCTTTATCACCTTACTTGGGGTGAATTGATAAAAAAAATACAGATTAGCTTTTACAATGACACATCCACATCGCCTCTTCACATCAAGTTGTTGCAAAACATTCAATATATTGGTTTATAAAAAAAGTTCAAATATCGTGTATTGAATTGTATAAATAAATATATGTTGTATTATGAATATTTAAATGCATTTAATAATGTTGTTTTAATGTATTATGGATTTTTATTATTTTTCATACACCGAATCTCCTATTAAAAATGTCGTAAAAACGGAAAAAGCCTTAGCTGAAGAATCACCTGTCTAATTTTAATGACATTTGGTACTGCACTCGGTAGGGGTTCATGGTACAATATGCTCATAAATTGGTTGGGGTATTATGTATTTTTTAGGCTGTATCTCGGGAAAAAACCCTACATAGATACAAGATTAGAGATCAACCTAACACAAATAAAAAAAAAATTAACTTAATAACGAAAATGTGAAAATCAGCAGCCAATTGCTGATATCTCCTGATGAGTGGACCGAACAATTAAACAACAGTTCATCTACGAAAGTTCTGCAGTAGAGGGGGACTGAATATAACACCAATCAAATTCTATAATTGCATTAAATACAACAAGTAAATGTACTCCCCGGCCTTCTTCAAGTGATTTGAATTTCGAAACGAACCCTTTATTTCATCCACCGGGCATAAATTTCTATGTTTGACGATCGCAAAAGCGTGAAACCCAGGGTCACAAACTTACATCAATCCAACCAAATATATATATATATATATATATATATATATATATATATATATATATATATATATATATATATATATATATATGCTCATATTTATCTATCAATCTATCTAATGTAGTCAATGGAGATATCCATGTGAAGATACTATCCATGATTAGTCCATAAACCTGACTAATATCTTCATCCTTGTTTTGCTGCTATATCCTTTTTATAGTCCCGATCTTCACTGGTCTTATTTTGATATTTTCCATTTCAGAGTTTTTCTTATAGCTTTATCTTCATCCTAAAGTCTGCTTGTTAGTTGAGTCGGTTGCGAAAATTCACATCAGCATCAATGGCTTTAGTTCAAGCCAAGATAAATATCAATATTTCGAATGCTGCTTTTCTAGTCAGACTGTCTCTGCAAACTTAGAGGATTGCTGTAATTTTTCTACCTGATGAAGTTCTGTTTTCTGTGCCCCAAATTTGGAAGCCAATCAAAAATGATCCTGATTTCTAGAGAACACATAGCAGTAACAGGTTAAGGAGCAACGTTACGACACAATGTCTGCGGTAATATCGAAGGGAACCGAACAATTTCTCATAACTCACCAGGTGGCGTTGAGTCACTTTTAATGCCATCTTCCTTCAGGACATAGAGGATCATGGCTTTCCGCATAATCTTTTTCCTTTATTATTTGTGAATTGTCATGAATTCTTAGGAAGAATAGTGGAGTGGTTTTTCGTTATAATCTCCGCCATTTTGAAATCAGAATAATCCTTCGACAAAATTCACTGCCATCGAAAGATAGGAAGTCCAGTTTACACTGTTATTTTACCAATAACTAACGGAAGAATTGATGCATTCACACATTTCTCAGGGATTGATTGATTCAGGGAACAAGGAATATATTTCTATTCTTGTCCCATAGACCGGTGAGGAGTGTGAACCGAACGACAGGCTTATCAACGTTTTGCGGGTTATTTAAAGTTAGAAAATATTTTAAAAACGTTTTGGCGGTGATAAGGATTTACTGATATAAGTCCTATTAATTAACCCATATCTGGGAGGGGAAGAGGTGGATTCATATATTTCCAAAGGGTATTGGCGTGTAAGTGAATATAATAAACCCGACTGAAATTAAAACTTGAATCTCCGATTTCCAATTCCATTACATCACACGAACATTCAAGCTTACAGCATCTGGTATTCTCAATCAGTCACCCATCTAGGTACTGACCAAGTTCGACGTTGCTTAACTTCAGTGATCGTACGAGAATCGGGCCTTTTCCAGGGGTATCAGTGCGAAAGTTAATGCAACATGCTATGTGGTAATTTGAACTCGGCTTGCCGATTCCATTTTCTATCCGTAGCCATTATTACACGAAGCGCTTTTTTCTTCTTTTTCATTATATGTAAATAAGTCAAAAAAAAAAAAGAAAAGAAGAGACCTTGCGTCACGAATAAATAACATTAAATCATTATAATCTTTCTATTGACCTTTCACCTGGTGTCGTTTCGTAAGAGATCTTAACGTTAGATGCATAGACGCGCGTGCGCGTTCCCGCGCGCGCACACACACACATACACACACACACACACACACACATCTACAGATGTGCCCACGTGATTATTGATTCACATGTCCCCGACAACACATGCACCTGTTGACCCCATCAAAGAAAGTTTATATCAGTTGCGGTTGTTTTTTAAGTAGAAGCCTGCGCTAGTCCATCAGTATTCCTCATCCAGCCCCGTTAATTTTGATGGGTGGACGAAAGAATCGGGGTTAAAGGGGCAGTAAGCACCCGTGTGAACTGTTTCTCAACTTATTAAGATGAAATGTAACATCTTTGTTCATTTCACCTAAAAGAAAAGGGCGTGACTGGTGGTAGCTAAAACAGGAAGATTCAATAGGCGTCCCCCAAGATCGAAGGGGCGTGCCCTTTTTTTTAAGTTTTAGAGGTGGGGCGTGTTAGAGATTAGAAGCACAATTGAGCTCTGTCTTTTTATTATTTTTATTTTTTATTTTATTTATTTATTTATTTTTTATAGACCGTTGCTGGGCAGGGTCTGGATGGATTAAATGGTTGCAGGTCCCCCGGCAAACTTTGAACTTGCCAGGGATGCCGACAAGGGCGGTTGGCTGAACAAGATTATCATCTTCGGGAATTAAAAAATAAATAAACAAAGAAAGGGTGGATTTTATCAGTTTTCTTTCTCGCTCTTTGAATGAAAAGTTATTTCAGTAGTTGTTTACTCAACCCGACAAACTGTTTCGTGAATTCAGTTATTGCCCTTAACCCATTGCCAGACCAATATCATTATGGATAATTAAATTCTCTTTTATAAATTAAAGTTATGTCATATCAATCGGGATTATGAAAATGATTTTCCCTTTTACTCATATCATTATGTAAAAAGAAAAAAATATTATGATAATATTATGGTAATATTAACCATATCCGTAAATGAAACATTTGACATTCATCGAACATGCAACCATTGATGCTTTTGATTGAAATTTATAGAATATTTCTATTAAAACAACAGGCTTCTCATGACCACTGTTAACGACATTTCTAGTACAGCAAGAAAAATTTTAGAATTCGGATGGGTTATTCTGCCATATATCACCAGATTGATTTGTTTTCCACGGTTTATCAACCCTTTATAATTTCACACCAAGTAAGACAATAAATCCACTAGGATACATGCTTACTGACTGTTAGAGAATATGAGAAAAAACTACTATTAAGAAGATAGGACAATAAAACCCTAACCCTGCCAAAAAGTGCAAGAGAAGAAAATATTAGCATAGAATTTGCGGTTACATCTTGCCATTTCAATTGTAAAATGATTCTCATCATTTTACAATTGATTGCCGCCATTCTACCACTTCGCTTAAATTCATAAAGTTTACGTACCATAGATATTTATTAGCTTCATAGAGTCTAGCTATCAATATATTTATTTTGAAAAAAATACAAAAATGTGACATAAGGTCAAAAGGGGGTATAGAGGAAAGCTGGTTTTCAATTTGTTTTATCTTAAACTTAGCTAGACATGATTACTGACCCAAATATACCACAGTATTCCTTACACCAAAACAACACATTCTTACTTAGCATAGAGGAAAATTCATCAAAACATTTACCATGAAAGTATTTATAGAAAAGGTAGAGGGAAGCTACATTAGGGCGGTGGGAAAATGACTGAAGCAGAAATGCCAGATTAGAACCAATAACATTGCAGATTCTTCATTGAGAGAAATATTGTTTAGCTCGACACAGCGAACCAATTTTCTTAGCCACAGATTCAATAGACCCTTTCTCCTTCATATCAGCTGAAAACGTTAGGCTGTGAACGTGCTATGAGTTATTTAAAATCAGAAAATATTTTAGATGGTAATTTTTTTATTCTTTTTGAGATAATGGTTTAGTGATACAAATCTTACTAACTAATTAACCCATAACTGCGGGGTAGAGAACAGGTGGATTCATATCTTTCACAAGGGTATTTGCACATAAGTGAATATAACGAACCCAACCAGAATTGGAATTCAGCTCTTGGGTTAACAATTCCGAACCGTTGTCCATTACACCTCCCACAGACTTTTACCGTACCTGGGATTCCAAGGTCACCAACTTCAGTGATAGTATTGGAGGCGTTGTTTCAACGTGATCTGGCCGTAAACCTTATATCACCTGACCTTGCTACCAATTTCGATATCGACCGATGGGTTTTAAGCACACTTAAAACATAATCTCTACGGACTTTCACAACGTATTTCGATAATCCGATGCCAAATTAAAACGGTAAAATGAATTCAACCAATTTATAGACACAGAATACGATTCTAATTGTTACCGCCATCACCTTCAGGGTTGAGATGGTGGTTGTCGCAGTCGGTGCTGAAAGATTGGTTTGCTTTGTTGAAACATTTTATTCTGGTATTTGATCGAAAACTATTGTAAAGATTGTAGTAGTGTCTGAGTTGCTGAAGAAACCGGCATTTTTTTTTAAATGCCAGTTTCTTCAAGAATTCAGACACCTACGACATCGGTCAACATCAAACATTACTGAATCTAGATCTGATAGAGAGCGATGTTAGAAATAGTTAAGTTGTATCTATTATCACTATTTGGATATTCATTTTATTATAAAATTAATATCCAAATAAAATATGAAAATATAAAATTATATATATATATATATAAATTATATATATATATATATATATATATATATATATATATATATATATACATATATATATAGTTTCTAAAAGTATTTTGTTAAACCATATACGTGCAAATATATATATATATATATATATATATATATATATATATATATATATATATATATATGGTGCATCAAAAATACTTTTAAAAACTTTAGGGCGGGTTCCTCAGACCAAAACAAGGACAAAAGTCCATATCAACATATGTCTGCAAATCTTTTGTTTTTGAGTTATTAAGTTTAAAGGAAGTTTACGCTAGATGTATATGTCGATTGATTAAACGACTGTTGTTGGGATTTATAGAGTCACAGTGTAAGCTCCACGATCCTTTCTTTAGCTGCATAATACATGCTTTGCCAGGATTACATATGGTTTTGAATTCAGATTTATTCTTCTCCGAGGCTGGTTACCAACCAAGGCTGAAGAGCTTTATTAACTTAATTCATATCTGGGCTGGGAGATAGATTCGAAATTTTTTGCAAGGGTATAACATATTTGTGCGAAAGTGAGTTCAACAGCACGTAACTACAATTTGATTGGCACTTCGATTGTCTTGTTCCATTACATTACACTACCTGCACACACACACACACACACACACGCACACACACACACACACACACACAGACAAACACGCGCGCGTGCGCGCACACACACACACACACAAACGCATATGATAAAAAATAAAAATATAGTTTTAACATATGCTATATTTATGAGTAAAAGTGTTCAATATCATGGATAGAGCGTATGTAAATATAGAAGTGGACATTGGGATCAACACCCAGCGACGATAATTTCTCTCTCTCTTTCTCTCTCTCTCTCTCTCTCTCTCACTCACTCACTCACTCACTTTCCTTCTCTCTTTCTCTCGCTCTCTCTCTCTCTCTGTCTCTCTGTCTCTCTCTCTCTCTCTCGATATTTATATATATATATATATATATATGTTTGATTTAAAATAACCAAAAATGTTTAATTTGTTATTGTATTTTTCCAATGTCGGTATAAGGTGTTGAGTTTTGTACTCGAAGTTGTGGATAAACTCTCCGAAGTTCATAATTCCTTATTTTTGTTCCAGTACTTTCGACTTTGGCAGTCATTATCAAGATTTTGGAGTCCTCCAAATATACTCCTATATACCTTTGTCTGCATCCTGGTATTCTTTAAGAAGATCGACCTTTGAAATGGTCTAATGTGACGTCATAAAATAAAAATAAAATAAAATTTAAATTAAATTAATAAATAAATTGCATTCTTTTAGTGCGGCCTTGTTTTGTGCGAAAATACTGTTGAGAATAAACCCTGAGGATAAATCCGGAGGCGGAGTCCCTAAACCAGTACGATGTTATGTTCACCTTCGTTTTGGCAACTCCTGCAACGACGCCGGTTCCCAAGTTGTATTGGCCACTGACTTTCTCTTCGACAACCTCACTAGAGTGGAGAGGGGAGAGATTCTGTATGGGCAACCATCGATCTCTCATAAAACTCTGCTCAGGCCTGCGCCCTGGAGAGGAAACATCGTCAGTGTGCTGCTCTAGGCAACGAGATTCGGAGCATCTACTCTAGACAGGGACGACGCAAAAGAATCTTTCATCCTCGCTGCCTAAGACATATTCTGGGCATCAATTGCTTTGACCGGGTAACTAATGCCGTAGTTCTCGCCCGTTCCCAGATACCCAGTCGATACGCCCTTCTCCAACAGCGCCGGTTTGTACATGTACACGGTTTGTCCTTCTGTACGGGGAACTAGCCACTGGCCAGAGGGCACGACAACGACCTCGTTTTCGTTTCTAGGACGTCTGGAAAAAGGAACATGCGGGTGAGGCACATGGGAATAGACATCGAGATGTGAGAAGACATGGTCAAATATCGTTCACGCTGGAGATGCGATTTACACCGAGGACTGGAGCGAAAAGATCAGAAACGAAAGCTTGCCGCTGGGGAAAAGCGTGCTCGACGGAAATAAAACAACACAGCGACAACGGGGTAGAGCGTATTAACATGCATTGGTTACAATCGAGACTGTCACTCCTGTGTGGGCCTGTACAGCCATAACAAATGCTGCGTTGCTATATACAGTTGCGACATAACATTTCGGGCGCACATCGATGTCGTCTCTTGAGACCTACGGATGCCACATGCAATACCATATTTTAAAACTTGGAATATCCTTATTTCACAGTGGCTGGAGACGCAATTTACACCGAGGAAAAGAGCGAAAAGATGAGAAACGAAAACTTGCCGCTGGGGAGATGCTTACTCGATGGAAAGAAAACAACACGGCGACAACGGGGTAAAGAGTATTAACATGCATTAATTGCATCCGAGACTGTACACCATAACAAATGCTGCACGGCTTTCAGCAGCTGCGACATAAAGTTTGTGGCGCATATTCATGGATCTCTCGAGACTTACGGATGCCACATGCAATACCATTGTTTAAAACTTGGAATATTCTTATTTGTCAGTGGCTTTGTTTTGTAATCCTATCTACGAGCGTAAGTGGAAGCAATTTATCGAATTTCTTCACTTTGCCAATTTTCTTTGATCCTCCTTATGAGTTATGCTGAAACAGTATCGGAGACTTTTCCCTGACACTTTGACGCGGTTTTTGTTCGATGAGTTTTTACAGATTTTGATTGACAATTGCAGATGGACGTTCTCTACCACCTTGATCTTCATTTCCTCTCTGTAAAAGTTACCAGCACCGTACTGCCCAATTGCAGGTTGACACTCCCCCCCATGCTCTATTAATGTTGACATCAGTTTGAGAAATATTATGACGAAGCGTGAACTCATGAAAAAAGATAAACTCATGTGTTCTTTTTATATGTTTAAGATAAGGTGTGTATAATATTTAAATATAGTGTATAATAGTTAAATCCTGAAAGAGATTGTTTAAAATTAACAAAGAGGACACCTTAAACATTAGGAAAGAGTAATATATATGGGAGTATCTATTATAATAATATATTAGAACACAAAAGGTTTATTCTAAAATTGGTATTATTTTCCTACCAACCTATTATTTAAAATAAGTTATTTTAATGTGCCGTACTAAGTTAGCAGCGTGCCAAGATGGGGTGGGATTTGAAGGAACTTAGCCACTTTTATTTGACACAGAATAGGACATGAGGAATATTTAGCTCTGACAACAACGGTTTAAATATTTATTATTTCACGCAAAAAATATGATCTTTTTTTTCCTTTATTCAGTAAATGGAGGAGAGGACATATCGTATATTTGACCCCAAACATAAAAAAAATGTTTTCACGGGCGCAAGTCGTGTACATTTTAGCAGTAAGAACATTTTATCCGATTTTGAGTCCCGATTCCGAAATCTTGGAGTTCATACTTCCGGAAAAAATTGGATAAGAGAAAGCAAAAAATAGACACATTTAACTTCATAATATTAAACTTTATTTCAAGGTCAACTCTGAAGAGGGCGAAGAATAAGACTCTGATGTGACAAGGTGCAAGGGCTTGGTGCCTCCCCCACTTCCCGAATTGATGATACGCCCCTCCCCCATTATACTGCATCTCAATTTTCATAAGGTAGTATTCATATAAAATACAAATTTGATTGTAACCTACAATAATGGATCATATGCAACAAAGGTGAACAATTCAACTAGAAAAATTGAAACTAAATCCAATCTATCTAAATACAAATTAGAGACCTGTCATATTGGATCATTCCATCTTAAATAAATCAACAATGTTTTGCAGCAATTTTTAACATCAGCTGGAAGCCTTTCTTGTTAAAATGTCGAATAATTGTTTTTTAACACATTCAACATTGTGGATAAAAATAGTCGTGTGCCCTCTGATCCAAATTTATATGGGTTCTCCACTCTACTGCATCTCAGTTTTTATAAGGTAGAATTCATATAAAATACAAATTTCATTGTAGCCTAATTATGTATCATAGCATGGATGATATATAGGTGAACAATTCTGCTATAAAATTTGAAAATAAATACAATGTATCTAAATACAAATTAGAGACATGTCATAATAGATAATTCCATCTTAAATAAATCAACAATGTTTTGCGGAAATCTTTAACATCAACTTGAAATTTTCTTGTTAAAAAGTTGACTAATTTAACACAATCAACATTATGGATAAAAATGTTTTTTTCGAGAGCAAAATAAATTCACGGAATTGATAAAAAAAACCCAGAATGACGTCAAAATCCGCAAAATTAATTGCCGATTTTTCTTAGTTTAATTTGTAACGTTTATAAATGTAGGTAGAAAAAAGTAAATGTCAAGACAACAAGGGTCACAAAGCACTACGCGAGGCTCTCAACCAGGCTTTCTCTCCCCAGAATCGTGTAGGGTATCGGAGCTAGTACGTGCCAGATCTGTGCCAATTTTTCAGGTAGGCCTTTAAAAAAAAAAAAAAAAGAACTGAACTTTAAGGATAATCATAGAAAAAGTGTCAAAACTTGTGGATAAGAAAAAATGTAATAGTGCTAATAAGTAATTTAATATAGATTTTTATTTATTCGCTTTTTAAGGAAGTGCGTTTAGCGTAACAGATAACAGATAACGTAGATAATCTTACGAAGGAGGATTTAGTAATTTGACGTAATAATTCTGTCCTGTCTCCCCCGTTGTTCTGGCCAAAAAAGAAATTCACCCGATCTTCCTCCGGTGAACTGAAGGAACCACCACAATTCGCCACGTTGTGAATTCTTGATCCGAACAGCAGTGTATCGATCTCCCCAGAACGATTCGGTGGGAAGGGAAGGAAATGGCTGGGTATTTCGCTGAAAGGAAATCACTATTCATGCAGAAAAAGTTTCTTGTCGTAGCCGCAAAAAAAAAAAAAATAAACAACTCCTGTTCCTGTACAAAGGACCCTATTTCGGACACTGTTTTTTATCTCTCTACCAAAGAATTTACACGAGTACAAAATGTCGTAACGAGATTCACTCGTTTGGGTCAGAAAGTCACAGAGAAAGAGAGAGTAGGAAAATCTCTGCGTAAACAATTTCGGCTGATCTAAGGGAAGTAATTCGTGGATCTTCGTCTGCACCTTACGATATAGCAGTCTGTTTTCTCGCAGCCTTGTTGACGAAGGTATCTGGATTCGTACGGGTTCTATTTCGATCTCTTGGCTCGGATCGGTCTTCTTGACACAGGGCAACCAACAGACCAGACCAGCAAATTCTAACAAGCCGCCTCTTCCGCGTTCTGATCTCCGAACTCCGAACTCATCTGACTAACTCAAGCGTGCGGGCAGCTTATATAGAGAGAGGCGGATCTAAACCATCTTTAGGCACCGCCCTTGAATTTTATTATGCAAATCGCCTGGACCACCATGTGTTTCCGCCTAATCTCCGGATCTCCACGGGCAACCAGTTTTAAGGGGTACTAAAATCGGATTCGGACCTCCTGCTAGATCTTCCGCAGACAACGTATACTTAAATTTTGCCCAAACCACTTATACCGTCTGGTTGAATTCCGCTATTCAGACCACCCAAAAATCCAATTTGCCATTTATCATTTGTAAACTTTACTTTAACGAATCCGTCTTTTAATCACTTTGGAATTATTACATGTAATTAACTAATAACTCAACCCCAGAAACAATTATGAAGAGAAGAAAAAAACAAGAGAAAAAAAAACATTTCTGGAATTACTCCGGAATCCCTTCTACCCAAGTAATTAGCACCTTCATCCTAATTCTTTAGCACTGTTGATTACTAAATCCACCTGGTCGGGGGTCTCTCTCTCTCTCTCTCTTTCTCTCTCTCTCTCTCTCTTTCTCTCTCTCTCTTTCTCTCTCTCTCTCTCTCTCTATGTCACAGTACGGTCCTCCAGTATGTCGCCACGGTTATATATATATATTTTTTATTAGTTCTGAGATTTTGTCGACGCCGAAGACGTCAAAAGCTGAAAGCATTTCTGCTACGATCTCATCAGGCCTTGTTGCTTTGTTCCTGCTCAGCATCGGCAGTGCTGATCTTACTCCATCTTTTAGTTGCAAACTTGGAAAATCCAGAATCAAGCATCCTTCAGAACTTCAAGAGAAGGAGAGAACAGATACTACAATTAGTATTTATTTGTCGCTCCACACTGGCAGGATGTGACACAAAGTCTGTTTAATGTAGGGAGTGTGAGCGTGTGCATCCGGGCTAGTTCTCAAAATAGCTCAGCCCCTGCAACTGTTGTTCGCATCGGTAGCGACTACCGATTCCCTCGCTTTAGTGCAATAAGGAAGGTACTGCCACGAGGTACTGTACCACTCAATAATATTTTCAGTTGCACTCTGCTCGAAGACAACGACACAACTGAATTGCGCTCTGTTCGGAGACAGAGACACCATTTAGAGATAAAATGCTTGTCAGCCTGAAAACAGACACTACACTTTCATCTTTGCTCGAAGGTTAAAGAGCGACATTTTGATCTGAAAAGAAAAAAATTCTGAATTTAAAACTCCGCTGCTTTGCAGCCGTACTCAATCAAAGGTTTCGGAAGATTTCGGAAGTAAACCATGAGGACAAATCTGGAACCGTTGTCCCTAAGAAAATCCGATGTTACGTTCAACTTCATTCTGGCAACTCCTGCGACGATACCGGTGCCAAGCTGTATTGACATCTAACTTTCCCTTGGACAACATCGGTGACATGGAGAGGGGAGACTTTCTGCATGGGAAACTGTTGATCTTCCATAAAACCTTGCCCAGGACTGCTCCCTGGAGAGGACACTTCAGCGTCTCCTCACCACGACGACAAAACACTTGAAGCAGCACTGTACTGGTGGGAGGATTCGAAAGGTCCTTTTTACAGAGGGAACTGGCCATTGGCAACAGGCCGATATCATCTTCGCTTCAAGGACGTCTGCAAAAGTGACACGCGGGTGATGGATATAGACATTAAGAGGTGGGAGGACGTCGCTCACGCTGGAAACGTGAGGGCTGGAGCGTGGAGAAAAGAAAGAGAGGCTGTTGCCAGAGGTGGGGGTGGAATCGTATTCGAAGGAGAAAAAACAACACAGTGACACCGGGGGGAGCGTCTTCACGTGCATTAGTAGCAATCGAGACTATGTAGGCCTGTACAGCCATAAAAAAGGCAGCACCACCATCAGCAGCTGTGGTGGAGATCCATGGTCTCTCGAGAGACGGACGGATGCCACACATAAGGCAAACTGTTAATAATAGCTGTCTTGTCAGATGTGCCGATTTAGACCTAATTCTTTCCGTCATTTTTTATGGATCCTGTGCTAGTTTTAGGATACGCCATGTTGTGTAGTGGATAACGACTCGGAAGGTGGAATCCAGTTCGAATTCCAGTTGGGTTTGTTACGTTCATTTTCGCGCAAATACCCTTGGGAAAGGTATGAATCCATCTCTTCTCCCTCCAGCTATGGGTTGAATTGCAGGACAGACTGGATCCTATAGTCTTGGTTAGCAATCAGTCTACAGCAGAAAGAAACGGCAACCTACTGCGGGGAAATCTTCTGCCTCGTATCATGTATGGCGCTTAACTGACTGACTAACTGATGTTATTTTTCTTTAAAAAAATTGGTAATTATGCAATGATAAATGACGGTTTGGAGAATATAACGCACATGGGGCATATTGGAGGCAAGAGGAGCAGAGGAAAACAGCGAGTGACCTACTTAATAATCAGAAAATGGAGAGAGAGACAGGAAACATTGCTGAAAAGGACAGGAAGTTGTGCAGAGCCATTGCCGCCTGCGCCCTGTATGGACACGACACAAAGAAGAAGGCTACGTATCCAAGAGGTCAAAATTTTTTCAAACAATTGTTTTTCGGCAATTTCATTGAAGCAGAGGGTAAAAATAGGGTTCCGTAATTATAAGAGTTGTAAATCGATCGCAGAACAGGGACTGAAGGATAGCACGGAACGACAACCCTTACTAAGAGATAAAAAGAATAGGAAATTGTGGAGAACAATGATTGCCTACTTCCGGAATGGACACAGCACATAGAAGAAGAAGAAGAAGAAGAAGAAGAAGAAGAAGAAGAAGAAGAAGAGTACTTATGAATGGGCTAATGAAGCTCTTTATCATAAATCCATTCAAAATTGGGACTAACAAGCGTGAAGCTGTTGTCAGAATGAATGAATAAATATATAAATAAAAAGGAATAACTTAATAAACATCTAGCATATTTCTTTTTTCATTTTTTTTTTTTTTTTTTTTTTTATCCAAGCCGAAAGGAAGATTTTTCTTGAGAAGAGAAAATAAGTGTAGAAAGTGATCGGTTGGTGGCGCTTTGCTGCTCGTGATTTGATTGGTCGATTGCCACCAGCCTCTTTTACTTGTATTTATTTTCTATTGGGCGGAGTCACGAGAAGAAACTGACTGGCTCGGCTAATGTTTCGTCCGACTGCATAACATCTTTTCAAATCTCGCTTCAAAGGGAATCCTTTCCGCCGGCTTGTGCCAAAAACAGGAACGGTTTGCAACTGAAATGGCAGCAAAACGGTAGCGAAATTTAGTCATTCTAAATGTGTGGAAGGGCTACCAACGGACAAGTCAAAGGGAGTGTGCGTACATAAACACACACACACACACACACACACAAGCACACACACACACACACAAGCACACACACACACACACACACACACAAGCGCAAAAAAAAACAAGAAAAATATTCACACCAAAACGAAGAAAGATAGAAACAGCCAAATAAACAAGTCCATTTATAAATAAGGAAGTAAAACATTTTTCTATTTGTTCTCACATTTTTTTCTCAGAGCGTTTGTTGTTTATTTTTGGTTGTTTAAACGCTTAAGCTGAGATTCGTTCTTTATCGCCACCACCGACCTTTCTTGACTTTGCAACAGCACCACCACCACTACCAACCCCTCCACCACCTCTTCCTCCTCCTTCTCTTTCTTCTTTCATTTTTCGCTTTTTTCTCTCTCAGTTTTATGCCTTTCACGTCTTAATTTCTCCTTCTTTCTTTTCCTCCTTCCTTCCTTCTTTTCCTCCTTCCTTCCTTCCCTCCCTCCCTTCCTCCTCCTCCCTCCTTCCTTCTTCCTCCCTCCCTTCCTTCCTTCCTCCCTTCCTCCTCCTCCTTCCTTCCTCCCTCCCTCCCCTCCCTTCCTTCCTCCTCCTTCCTTCCCCTCCTCCCTCTCCCTTCCTTCCTTCCTTCCTTCCTTCCTTCCTTCCTTCCTTCCCTTCCTTCCTTCTTCCTCCTCCTCCCTTCCTTCCTTCCTCCTCCCTTCCTTCCTTCCTTCCTTCCTTCCTTCCTTCCTTCCTTCCTTCTTCATTTGTTCTTTTCTTTTCCATACCCTTTCAACTTTTTCCTACCATTGTTACTCCTCTGTTCATTTCTGTTTTTCTTTCTTACTTCTGATTTCTTCCTTTTCTTTTCCCCTTCTCCTTTCCGCCTCCCCATGCTTCTCTTCTTCTTCTTCTTCTTCTTCGCTATCATGTTCCGTGGTTTTTTCCTTCATCGCAATGTCTTGCCTTGTTCCAGCAGCATCGCTATATAACACAACATACGAACTTTATTTAGATGGCTTTAACCAGTAATTTTATTTCAATATTGTTAATATTAAAATTACATTTTTGTTCCGAATTATTTAAGATCAGTTTTCAACGAAACATTTCTTTTCCTTTACGTAAATAGACTGGGATATCTCTTAGTTTTACAATTACAATCTTTTATCGTTAAGGCTTTTTGTCTAGACCTTCAAGAAGTGACGTTTCCGGACAGCCTGAAGACCTTCCCCACGGACACGGCACCTGCTTCAAACTTCACTCAACGCATAAAGGGACGATGACGAAAATAAAAGTTTTCGCACACATTTTAATTAGTTAAACGCGTTAAAAAGCCATGAATCCAGCAAAGACTCTCAAATCTTTCGTTTCACAAAGCAGACATATGTGCACTTCGGTCAGCAAGCTTGTCTTGCTGGATCAATTTACGACTGAGTAGTGAGTTCGATCCTCATTGGGTACCCCATACTTTCGGCCTTGTGCCACATTAAGCTATACTTAGAAAAACACTATATATGCACTTAGGTACCAAAATGCCCCCCTTCTACACACTGGTTAATTTTAGGATTTTTCCACCCCGACCCTGTAACTAATTATGATCCCCCCACTTATTAATTTTTGCCTTTATTTATGGATATTTTCGTCACCAAAGTGTTTTGGGCGGGGACCCATCCTTTAAGGAAGGGATGGGGCACGAGTAAGTAGTTGCACACTAAAATTACTTCACATCATTTTCACAGTTTGAGGTAAATGATTTTCTGAGGTGAAACAGTGTCCCACGCCTTGGTGACGGGACTGGACAATTATTTACGATATTTCTTCAATTATCCTTACCTCGATTATCCGTACATAGATTTCCGGACTTCGATTATCCGGACGCAAAAAGATCAGAAAAATTGTAATTATCCCGAACATTTTTCTATTATCCGGACTGAAACCATTCTAATATTTCATCTCAGACAAGCGTTTTAAGAATGTAGAAAACCACACTTAACCGTTGATAAAAGCCCTGATGAAATCAGTTGGATTGATTCTTGATCATGTCCTCGTTGTTTTCATACATCTTATAGATAAAGTACAGTGAATGTGTGCGTGTCCAAGCAACTCCTCCGCTTCCACTGGTCCGATTTCAGTGAGTCATAGCTCATTCAAAAGCCCTAGAAATGTCAGGCACAGGAACGATTTTTGTTGAGCTCAGATTCAGGTTTACCAGATTATGCGAGGTTAAAAATATATATTAATATATTATACTAACTCTTATTTTCCTTTTGTATCCAAAATTGCAGCTAGCTTAACATTCTGAAGATTAAAAGCCCCAGTTCTATTTTATAGCAATTTACACAGTGTTTACTCATTCCCCTACGAGAATGAGATGTGACACAAGGTCGGATTAATGTAGGGACCCGAGCGCGTACCCTCGGGCAGGGAAAAAAATTGCCCTCAGCCCCTCCCTCTTGTGCAATGGGAGGGCATGGCCTCGTTCAGCTGTTCCCCAGGGCTGGGCACCTCTTCAGTATAATTTTCCTCAGTTGCCCCACTGTCCTTTGACAGAGAAGCACCTGAGCGCACTCTGTCCAAGCAGAGACGCAACTGAGAGATGATAAATAATGCGAAATTACCCAAAAAGAGGAATTTCCGCACTAAAGGCTCAATATCTGTATTATATATTACCTACTTCTAGGCACTATCACTCTTCAGGTTTAACTAATTTGCATATTGATTTTAAAAAAAATGTTTATTTCATTAATTAACTGTCCTTTACTACTGTTCTTTTATTTGAGAATTGTTTTGATTTCATATCAAAAATCGTTCTGTTTAGAAATATCGTTTTATATAGTGCAGAAAAGTGAAATTTTCATTTTACTTGGCCTTCAACAAGTTGGCATCTATTTGTAAAACTTTCCTTAACTATAACAAGCCAATGTATGAATGAAATGTTTATTTAAAATTTTTGTTTCAAATATTTCAAGTAGTGAATATATTTTACTTTGCGAAGCCTGATAGTAGGATATATATTTGAATTATCACAGCTTGGTCACATCTAAAATTATGGGCTATGCAACTCTAAGATGCTGTTCTTACAAATACATCTAATTTAATCTAGTTTCGGGGGTTATGATAGAAAAACGTAAGGCCAAATGGAAACACAAAAATTGACTCTTTTTTTCATAAAAATAAACTGGACAAAAGTGTGAACAAGCGTTTGAAAATATTATTTGAAGATATATAAATTTATTTCAAAAAATGACTTTTTCTTCATTCTTTTTAAATAACTTAGGTATTCAATGATACGGAATCGTTCCTAATAAATCGTGTAACGAAGAACGTGTTGAATGGACACGCTTCTAGTTCATTTCACATTAATTCTCAACTAGGTATCTATGCGGATGATCCAACTATTTACTTTTGTCTTAGTAGCAAGTTCCACAGATTCAACAAATCCGACAAAGCAAAATTGGCAACTGCTCTCGAAAAGGACCCGCAATCTGTGGTTAACTAGGACAAGGAATGGCTTTTAAATTTTGACCCCTCTAAAACAAAACTGCTATCATTTAATCATCACAGAGAACTTTTTTCTGCATAGTTGATGCTAAACTCCAGGAGAACAACACTTTGCTCCTCCTGCACACATGTTTTTCACTGATATTCAGTCGAGTAAATCTATTGTTTGATCTACTGCTTGGAAAGTTGGTTCGTTTTTTGTGCCAGACACAATTCTTCACTTCAAAATCTCTATCGCACCTTTATAAATCTACCATTTCTATAACCCCCTTCGTCCAAGCGAATTTATTTTTTTAAAAAGGCAAAGGACAATAGCCTCATCTGTGTTGTATTTTAAAAAATTTCCTAATGTCGTTAAGTGAATGCAAAATAATAATAACTCTCTTCTTTCATTGTTTTTATGCCAATAAAAAATTACCTTCACAGAAATTAGCCGCTCAGTCAAGAAGTAGAGGGAAAGAAAGTAACGAGCCTACGCGAAATCCTTTTTGATATAAAATGAGGAAAAAGGTTAAATTAATCGAAGAAGAGTTTCTGAAGTCATGTGAATGGTTTCGTTTCAGTTCCTCACGACGTTGAAGTACTTTCCTGTGTAATTTATATTATCGGCCCCTAACCAGAATGTGGCCCTTCAAAGATTTTTCTCTCAACAATCCAAGAAAGTTAAGTATTTCAAACTATCTCTCTTTGTCTACTTTTGAACATATGTAAGCCATATATCCCTCCGGTGAATAACGAATTGTGTTACCTTTGTCAAGCATTTTTAATATTATTTTGTGTCAGAAAATTTAATATGTTGTAATGAACTATTGTGAGACCGGAACTACCTACACAATAGACTCTTCCAGGTCTATATTAAGTATGCGACACAACACGCTAGACTGAGAGACACAGAGAGTCAGAGAGAGCCGCGTACGACTACCAGTATTGGACACTAACATATAGTAAGCTCTGCTTACACTATCTCTGTAACCTGTTGTTAATATATCTTTCTTACATCTAATCCGTGTTCTGTGTTTTACTTCTGTGGTCCCAACTTTGGCCCCACATCATGAAAATTTCCTCTTCATTACAATACAACTACGAACTGTAAGAATTCTTCTTTATATTCCAGTGACATTACTTCAAGCATGTAAATTCGTGAATGAATTCCTTACCTTGTTTTCTTAAAATTTCCTGTGTGTTTCCTGGTCATCATCATCGTTCATTAATCTTCTTGGCCTGGGTAAATCAACTACTTATTTTAATCGCTAAGTCCCACGCCAGTATAACATCCTTAATGCCAAAATAAAAATTGTATGCTACTCAACTCGTGATGTGTCTCCAATGAATTTCAGCTGGGACTTTCTGATTATTAGCAAATGAACTTCTTTGTAGTTGTCATTAAAATTTCCTCATTTGTCAATTGTTTCGTCTTTGGTATTTTCAACATTTTTCGGTAGAACCAGATCTTGTTTGTCTTAAATCTTGAATCGTCCAGTTTCTATTGCCATACATGAGATTAAATGATAAAACATTGCCATATAAGCCATATCAGGACGTAGGCGATCATGGCTCTCTACAACTTCCTATGCTTTGTAGCTCTTAGCGATGTGTTTTTTTCCATTAAGGTTCACTCTATACAAGGCACGCGGGCCACTCGAGGTAGAGGATTACGTTAAGGGGTAGTTTATATGGATAGGAGGGGAAGATAACGGCGGACTCTAGACTTGAACAGTTTAAGATTGTAGTGATCGGGGAAACATCCACTTAGGAGTCTGTTCCATAGGGCAGTGGTTCGCGGGTAGAAGTTGTTTGAGTGGAACTTATTTCTTGTCAATCGAATACGGAGAGAATGAGGGTGGTTTGCTACTATGTAAAGTGGCATGGCGGGTCCCAGACCTGAAAGTCAGACCTGGTGAATCCAGGAGATACAGATCATCCGAGCACTTCCCATGCTAGTAGCGATAGAACAGTGAGAGGCTCGCCACACCCTGCCAGTGAGAGCAGAGGTTAGAGTGTGGAAAATAATTCTTCTCCAACAAGGACTCGGAGACGCTTTTAAACTCGATCAAGACTTGAAAGTGAGGTCTGGGCGCTCCTGCCTAAATATGACAACAGTACTCCATTTTTGGCCTGTTCTGGCTCTTGTAAAGGATAATTGACCGCCAGGGCCTCAGAAGACTGACCGTTAATATCTTCCTTCAGGGATCTACCAGTTAGAAAGGATTTTATAATAGAGAAAACCGTTCCAGTGATTCCATAGTTGGAAAGTTTGTGTAGCAAAACTTTGTGCCACACCTTGTCGAAGGCCTTCGAGATATCTAATGCTATGGTCCTTGCGGTGTGTGTATCGTCAAGAGCCCCACTAATTATGTGCGTAATGGTAGTTAAGACGTCAGCAGTGGATCTTGCTGATCGAAATCAATACTACTCGTCGCACAAGTGGCTGCTCCTATCCAAGTGCTCGACGTCCTTCTTGTTGCTTATGCCTACAAAGAAGCTTACTGATGATATTGAGGAGACTAATGGAAGTCAAGGATCCGTTACCC